ACTCCTGAAGTTGTGAGGACAACTCCTGCATCTCTGAAGGTGCAAGGCGACAAGGCACCTTGGCAATAGACGCGGCTCCCGGAACAAAATCGATACTGAACTCCACTTGCCTCGCGGGAGGCACACCCGACAACTCCTCTGGAAAGACATCTGGGAAGTCACGCACTATCAGAACCTCCTCCACTGACCTCGGCCTCTCGGAGTCAACCCGCATATCCATCACGTACGCCACAAAACCCTTACATCCGTAAGAACTCCCCCACTAGGTCTCGTATGGTCACCAGCTGTCGCTCGCAGTCGATAACCGCACCAAATCTGCTCAACCAGTCCATGCCCACAATAAAACAAACACCCCCCATCGTAATAGGAACCAAGTCAATCGGGAACTCAACACCGAAAATCTCGAATACGCACCTGCGGATCACCTCTATGGCATATATCACCCTCTTGTCAGCTATGGAAACTCTCCGAGGCCGACTCAGTGCCTCGCGACTAACACTAATATGATGACTAAAAGCCAAAGATACAAAAGACCGACTCACACCCGAGTCAAATAACACCAAGGCAGGTACAGAATTCACAAGAAAAGTACCTACGCATAACATAATATAAGCATAATATCTCAATCATCAAAATAAATACACGAAAGAATACATACCAGCCACGACATTGGGCGCTGCGCGAACCTCCTCCGCGATCAACTGAAAGGCTCTCCCTCGTGCTCTTGGCGCCTCGGCCTTCACTGCCGACTCTCGGTAGCTCTGATGGCGGCAGGGGCAGATCCTTGAGGTGCTCCCTGAGCTGATCCCCGCAGCTGCGGACACTCCGCCTTACGGTGTCCGGTCTGGTTGTAGTGAAAACGTACTGCAAACCCCTTGGGGCAGTCCTTGGCCATATTCCCCTCCTTGCCACATTTGTAGCAAGATCCATCTCTACATACTCCATCATGACCCTTGCCACACTTCCCACAAGTGCGGCCCTTCTGGATCCCAGATTTGGGATCAGCGGGCTTGGCTCGCTTGGCTGCCGGCTGGCACTGTGTCGGCCGCCGATCCCTCCCCTGAGACTCCGCCTCCTCCCTGGCCTGAGTCTCTAGCTCAATCTCCCTCTTCCGGGAATTTTCCTGAAGCTCGGTAAATATCCAGTATGAGGAGTTCTCCACGAACTCCCGAATGTCTCGCCTCAAGATACTCAAATATCAGCTCATGCGTGCTTACTCAGTGGACACGTGCTTAGGGCAGAACATCGCCCACTCGTGGAACATCCTGGTAATCACCGTAACAGACTCAGTACCCTGCTTGAGGGTCAGAAACTCCTTTGCCAAATGCTCCCTCTCCACCTGGGGAACGTACTCATCTTGGAACATGGCAGTTAACCTCTCCCAGGTCACTGCCGCAAGCTCAGCAGGCGAAAAGTGCACTGTCACAAACTTCCACCAGTCCTTCGCTCCCAAGCGAAGCTGGTTCAGCGCGAACCAAACTCTCAAATGCTCAGGAGATGAGCAAGTGAAGAAACACCCCTCTATGTCTGAAATCCACCTCATAGCCGCCACCGGGTCCTGAGTCCCGTCAAACTCTGGCGGTTTCGTGTTGCTGAACTCCCGGAATAGCAACGCATCACCACCCTACGGCCTTGCAGCAGCAACAACTGCAGTGGCCGCCGCAACAGCAGCCTCAGAAAGAGCAGCATAACGCTCGTCGAAAGTCTCAATTAGCGTGGTCTTAATAGACTCGAACATCTCTGGTATCTCTGCCCTGATGGCCGCAGCCACCTCCTTGTGGATGATCCGACGGATCTCCTCATCACTAGCCCCACTGCTCTCTGGCATAAGACGTGTCCTCACCATGATCTATCTCTGAAATACAACATACGATAAATTAGAATCCATTCGAGCATACTCACACTCGACAACTCTTCCCTCCTTGATCCTTGGCATACCGAAGGTTCTTACTTGAACTGTACACCGCCCCGGTGCTTTCAGTAGTATGGGCCCAATACTACTGTCCACATCGTTTCAGTATACACCCCAAATCCTCCTCTTCGGATCCCAATTTCCAAGTACTCTATCACTCTCTAACAGATCTCTCATAAGCTCCTCGTTGCTACCTATTCACTCTCAAGCATCTCATAGCAGCTCACCTCACCCTAGGCTAAGGCATCACAAATCAGGTCACTCTAGTCCTAATAGGAATACCTAGCCTACTATAGCAAAAGAATACATCATATCAATCTCATAAACATATAATATAAGGGTATTTTGGGAAATCACTTTTTGGGCGCTGACTGATCGTACACACGTTTCTACTCTAAGTTTCTCTAAAAATCTTTTACTTCTTTTAGAAATTTTGGTTCTCTTTTGAAAATATTTTCCAAATCCTCAGTTTGAGTTCAAATACTCCCGAAGGTGTACCCGAATCCCTCAAACCAAGGCTCTGATACCAACTTGTAACACCGTAAAATTTCAAAACAATTTTTGCATTTTATAAAAACATAATTCATTTAATATTCGTAAAAACACCCATGTTTGAAATACAATTCATGTCATAAAAAAATCCCAAGATCTCATAACATAAAATCCCGTGTGTGTACTGATCAAGCTGGCGCCTTCCCACGGTCGTCACTAGTACCTGAAACAAATAACACCAAACACTGTAAGCACAAAGCTTAGCGAGTTCCCTAAAATACCACATATAACACATATTAGCCACTCGAGGCTATAACTCTGTGGGTCCGTGCACCCAAACTCTGTGAACCCTCAGGTTCTAACTCTGTAAACATGCACAGTATAAATCACAAAGAATAATGCAGCGCAACACATAACATATACATAGCATACAAGCACTGTATCACATAACTCTAGTTACCTACTCAAGGTAAAGTATAGTGAGAAGACTCACCTCGTTTATCTCGATAACTCGCAAATCCCTGAAATCACTCGTTCTCGATCCCCCGCACTATAATCTTCCTATAATACAATATATCTCTAATTAACACTTTTACAACTAAAGTTGACTAACCCTATCAAGTCAACATTGGTCAACTCTGGTCAACGGTCAACTTTGACCGGACTCGGCGAGTGCACCAAAGCAACTCGACGAGTCTAACTCGTTCACTGACTCCCTCGGATCTTTCTTGGCACATCAAGCACTCCCCTAACTCGACGAGTTTCCACCTGGCTTGAATCGCAGGGCAACCACGACTCAACTCGCCGAGTCTCAAGAACAACTCGGCGAGTTCCGGCTTGACTCAACCCCATATTGACTCTTCCTGACTCACTGGGTTATCCCCCAACCCGGCGAGTCCACTCACTGAACATATTACGTGAAACTCCAACCCTACTCGCTGAGTCCCAAGAACAACTCAGCGAGTTCATGCCATGCACACACTTTTATTGACCTTCTGAGGTCAGATCTGCTTTCCCAAACCCTAGATCTAGCCTTCCCAAGCATGAATGTCACGTAAAGTTCGAAGCTTGATGCTTGTTTAACCCCCACAAGGCATCAAAAGGATATTTTGTTCCAAAAATAACCACCTAGGTCCAATGACTCCATAATAAACCAAAAAGCTCCAATGTTTAAGGTCTCTGGACCTCTTTGAGTCCAGATCCAAGGCACAAACTCGAAGAGGGACCATTTGCTTCACATAATCACTCTCCAAAGGGGGGTATAAAACCCTAACTCTAAAGATCAACCCTATAATTGAAGGAGATTCGAACCCTTACCTCAAAATGAAGCCTCTGGACTCTGGGTCTGCTGTAATCTCACCTCCTCCATGCTCTTGCCACCTTCCTCTTGCTAAACAAAGAATACAAAGGCCCAAAAGTGACTTCCTCTCTCCCAAAACCAATTAGCTCTCTTAGGTTCTCTCAAGGGACTGGTAGTCGCACTAAGAGGCTATAAGTGCCCTTAAATAGGCCCCAAGCCCGGAGAATTAGGGTTTCATTAAACAGCGTGGACTCGCCGAGTCCACTCCTTGGACTCGCAGAGTCCATTCCATGGACTCGCAGAGTCCAGACGCGAATCCTTGTCAAAATCGCGATCCTACTCGGCGAGTTTGAGCTCCAACTTGCTGAGTCTCCTCACAAAATACCAAAAATATAAGAATAATTAATACCTGGGAATCCGGGCTGTTACAGATAATCCTTAGGAATAAATGAACGAGAAATAACTGATTCTTAGGGTAGATCCTTAAGAATAAAGAAGATAATAGGGATGAGTAATTTGGTTGATTGCTTAATTGTTTAAACATAATAATTATATTATTGTGGGTTGAAAACCCAATGTACTCACCAGGTTTCCCAACCTGACCCACTCAGTTTATTTATATCACAGGTGTTGTTATGAAGTCACATTATACTGAGAGATTAAGGTGATATAAATCACTAGTGATAATGAATGTAAGTTCTGTTTATGCTTATGTTTTTGTATTAACGATAACATCCCACATGTTTTAAAAATGAATAAATACTTTTCTTTGGAAATGCTTTGATAACGTATTTATCATGTTTTACTGGGAACATATTCCACAACATTTTTATTAAAAGAGGTACTCTGATTTTCATAACGATAAACAAAATCGGTCTTTTCTAGCCGTGAAAATAGAGATGTCACATGCGATGAGGAGGAACGGTGAATGAAACGCGGAAAAATAAGAAATTATATACATAGGAATATCACACGTAACAAACACCGACCCATGATCTGTCAATTAAGTATTATATAATTTAAATTCACAAACTACAAACAAAAGAGAAAGAAAATAAAAAAAAAATAAAAAAAATTTCAATCAATCATAAAGAAGTATTATTGCCTAAGGAGAGTTATATATATATATATATATATATATATATATATATATATATATATATATATATATATATATATATATATATATATATGGAAACATATTTAAATCATATAAAAAAAATTGCACATGACGCCGAATGTACCGAACTCGAAATTATTGGTATATTGGACAAAAGCAGTATAAAAAAATTGTACATGACGCCGAATGTACCGAACTCGAAATTTGGTATATTGGACAAAAACAGAATATACCTGTTACAAACGACGTCATATCAGTTGACGGGCAGTGCTTTGCTTGTGACAGACGTGTTTGATAAGCAACATGACATTTACGAGATTTTAAAATCGACAGCTCACGTTTATTTTGTTAAGCTACTTTTATTTTTAAGGGACTCGGTGCACGTGACAAACCAATGGCGTACGCTATGTCGACCACCTAAAATAAATATAGAGGTGGACGTTACGCTGATTTACTTGTACTACCATCGTTACCATTCATCGGGTCCGCACACGGCGCACGACAGCAACTAGCAGAACCAAATTATAACGCCCACCTCCTCACCTCCTGTGTTATTTAATTATAGTTTTGATTTTAATTTTAAATTAATATTGGTAAAATCTATAAATTTAAATCGCAAACGGCGACAGCCTCTTCCCTTCAATCTCGGTATCGTGCTTCTCTCTCCACCACCAGTACCACCCTCAATTCGGCGTCGTTCCTTTCTTCTTCTTATCTGTTCTTCATCCTCTCTGTTTTCTGGTAATTTAAACTCTTCTCTTATGTAAATAAATTGTTTTCAATATTAGCTTCCAAATGTATGTGTGCGTATATTTTTGAAGATTTTGTTGTTGACGTTGATTGTTATGTATAAACTTTTGATCTGAATATTTTTGAAATTTACTCGTTTTTCATCTTTGATTGCTTTTATTGGTCTGTCATGCTTTTACGTATATTTACCGTGACAAATGCTCACATTTAAATATTGGTTTCAGTTTGAATCTGCGATCTCACTATGTAAGTATGTATGTTTTTGTTATTTGTACATTTTCGTTCTTTGAATACTTTTTTTTTGGTCGCAACTAGATTCTTGATTGGCAATGGTGGATTTGTTAAGTTTCGGTTTTTGATTGTAGTAGTCTAGTAGATGCATAGAGTCTTCTGCTTTGCGTTATGTTTGTTCCTAATGGTCTAAAATATAAATTAACTGGATGGATGCTTAATATGGTGGGTATATTCAGCCTGAATTTGATCTGATTAATGACTGGTTAGTTAAAATGCTATTTTATGCTCTGTCATGTGGAGTTTTATCAGTAGAATGAATAACTACTCTGCACTTGCAACTCCATTTTTCTGGGAGGTGCTATAAAGAATATCCATACCATTGAATTGAAATTGGGAAAGAGATAGGTGCTGCTGTTGATTGTGGGGAGATTTGTGAATAAAAGAATAGTTGTTGTTAACTGCATTCTATATTACAGCTTGGCAACTCTACCTTTTGGGAATGTTTCCTGAAGGAGTCAGAAAAAGCTTGGATGCTAGAGTAGATGATAGAACTATAAAAGTAATCAGTCATGTCTTAAGGTTTTAGGGTTTTAACTTGAGGTCTGTAACTATTTGATTTGATGCTCAAAGTCATGTAATAACCACAAGAATTGGTTTAGTTGGATTATGCATGGGCCCTTTTCTAATGAGTGTGAGAGTGTCACTAACATCAGGTAATTTTCAGTAATATTCTTGTTTTTCTTTACCACTTCATAGAACCATATCTTATTGGATCCATTAACTAAGAGACATTGTTCATTTACCCCTACCCTGATTTTCCTTTTATCAATTTGTGTAAGGCAGATCTATGCAATGTTGTTTTGCATGTTATATGTACTCATTTTTAAAATGCTCCATCTCTACTTTATGTTATAGAAGGAGTTTTCTTTTCAGTATGTGAAAGAAAGTTATCCTAGTAATTTTATTGTATTGCAGAAATGGCGTCTTGTGCAAGTGAAGGTCTATATCCTCTGCATAGGTCTAAAACCATTCATCTGGTATGTGTTTTATTTCTATTTATTAACCTCCAGTCCTCCTTGGTCTATGTGTTGTTTATCTGGTATGTTATTTCTATTCATCTTTGTGGTTTTATTGTAATTACTAGGTGAGGCATGCTCAGGGGATCCACAATGTGGCAGGAGAGAAGGACCACAGTGCATATCTATCTGAACAACTGTTTGATGCACAGCTTACCCCACTTGGTTGGCAACAGGTTTACTACTTTTTTCTTTTTCTAATCTTATTTATTGACATCTATTTCCAAAGGAGCTATTTTCTTCGAATATTAGTAATTAGCAAAACAAATCCGACTTTTCCAAAAGCAAATCCACATGAAAGAAAGATGAAACATGCTAAAATGATCAGTTAATCGTTTTATGGCCTTTAATCAAGTCAGAAGGTGGATCCCCCCTCTTTTTTTTTTTTTTTTTTTTTTTAAATTTATTTACAGATATGGGTTATTGTATTTTTAACTCCACCGAAATAGCAACACACTTATATTTTGCAATTTTCCCAACTAAAAATAAACAAACAAGAAATGTGAGTCATATATGTGAAACAAGAGGTGATTAAATCACAATGTCTATCATGTTCAAACTTTCATACATATATATGTATGTATGTATGTATGTATGTGTGTATATATATATATATATATATATATATGTGAAATGAAACAACAGGTGGATAATCTTCGGAAGCATGTTCGTGCATCTGGTCTTTCAAAACGTATTGAATTGGTTGTGGTTTCGCCTTTGCTGAGGTACTTTTTCCTAGTCATTTCAAATTGGTATGAGTTTATACTTCGATTGTAGTTTGGAAAATCCAAATGCAAAGCTATATCTGAGTATATTTTTCAATGTAGAATGTCGATGATTGATTTTTTTCATTGGTAAACCAGAAATGCTGCCTGCTAATTTCCATGATTGATTTTTTTGGTTGTAGGACAATGCAAACAGCAGTTGGTGCTTTTGGGGGTGAAGGTTCTGCTGATGGGAATCCACTAATGGCACAAAATACAGGCAAAAGCAACCGGCCTGCAATTTCAAGTCTAAATTCTCCTCCATTCATTGCTGTTGAGCTTTGTCGAGAGCATTTGGTACGTCAACAAATTTCACCCATGTATGTATGTATGTATGTATCTGTATGTAAAAGTTCAAACGACCTATTTTCTTAAGTGGCTTTTTTGCATTAATTAATGTAAAGAGAAAAACACTTTGAACATCTTCTCATTAAGTCCGGTCATAAAGAAACAATTATAATGTCTTACATTTACATGATAGAAAATGAGAAATATGAGAGAGCTTGATTGGGTATATAAATTGACAAACTCATTTCAATGTATTATATTATTTTATGCAGGGTGTTCATCCATGTGACAGGAGGAGAAGTATAAGTGAATACAAGCCCATGTTCCCAGCAATTGATTTTTCTTTGGCAAGTAGCTTCCTCCACTTTTAACATTCTTCCATTGATTTGCTTATTCTGGAATCTTACTAAAACATTGTTCTACCCAATTATAGCAATGTCATTATTGTCATTGCAACTGCAATCACAGGGTAGATTTTTCCAAGTATAAAGCCCCAATACAAAAATAATAATAATAATAATAATAATAATAATAAAATAAAATAAAAAAATATCAAAGTACAATAGTATGATTTGGTACATCTTTTAAAGTACAGTGCCCTAATAAGTAAAGGTTATTATTTTTTTTGCAATAAAATTGTTTGGAATTAGGATGATACACAAATAAAGGAATGTAGGTTGTTATTTCTTGCATGTAGTCCTTAAAGTTTGGGTTAAATGCAAAAAATAGCAGCCAGAACATTATACTTTGAAAAATGTCAAAGTATAGTGTCCTAATAAGAAATATTTTTAAAAGTACAATGCTAATTGGGTAGATTTTTCAAAATAATAATAAGTTTAACTTTTAATAGACACGACAGTGGGATGCTATATAAAAAGAAATACAGGAATAAAAATTACTCCAATCAGAAATGGTTTCTCTTTTTTGCATACAATCTCATCCTTTCTGAACTAGTTATGCAGTTTCTTGCTAAAAGTGGCAGAGTATTTATTACATCCATGTTGATGTTTTATTCAGATAGAAAACGAGGGGGATGTTTTGTGGACGCCTGATACAAGAGAAAAGAATGAGGACGTTGCAGCCAGGGGGGTGAAGTTTATGAAATGGTGATTTCTTTCTTATCATACACTTATTATTTTTTTTTTTTTGTCTGTATGGATAAATAAGTCAAAAGAAAGAAACACAACTTAATGTTTTGACATAAAATGTATGTTTTTATATTTTATGCAGGTTATTGACTCGGGAAGAGAAGGAGATTGCAGTTGTGACCCATAGTGGTTTCTTGTTTCATACACTTGCTGCATATGGAAATGATTGCCATCCCACATTGAAGAAGGAAATGTCTAAACAGTAAGTTCTTCTTTATTCTTCTATCCCTTTGAATTACAATTTTTTATTCACCTCTTTTCCTTTTAGGTTTGAAGCAAGAATCTACATTCATTGATATGTTTATTATAGCATCCTACTTTCATTTCTTCCATTGCATTCAGAATATACATAGCAAGTAGGTGGATTTTTCAAAGTATACTTACCGCTGTAAAAAGTTTTTTTTCAAAGTACAATGTTATAATTGGGTAAGTAAAATGCCCTAACAAAAAATGCAATCTTGGAATAGAGAAAAATCAAAGTAGGATACACTCTGTAATAAACAAATAAATAATAGTATGTTGCTGTTTCTTGTATATTTTTTTGGGGAACAAATTTACAAAAATAGAAATTGAGGCCTCTTATTATATATATATATATATATATATATATATATATATATATATATATATATATATAGGCGCTTTTAAACATTGATTTTGAAAGTGTGTCCCTAGAATAAAAAATGCCTGATAGTACTTCCTTTTTACCAATAATCTACACTAAAACTTATGTCTTGTGAGAGTACTTTTCCTTGATAAAACATATATGTTTATGATAAGCACAAGCTTTTAGATTTGTCTCAACCACACCCATCCATAACTTATGTAACTTGATTGATACATCATACATGTTTTGAAGAGGTTAACCAAGTCTGTTTGTGATTCTGATTTACTCAGCTTCAACAATTGTGAGCTTCGTTCTATGGTCATCATTGATAGAAGGTACGTAAGCAAGCATATATATATATATATATATATATATATATATATATATATATATATATATATATATATATATATATATATATATATATATATATATATATATATATGCACTCTAAAATCTAAGGAAAATGTTGGATGGGACATGGACAAGCTTTTCGACTTGAGAATGGTTGAATCTTGAAAAACCGTGTTACTAATCATCATCTGTTCTGCAGCATGATAGGATCAAATGCTTCAAAAACAGACTTTCCTGGCAAAATTCCTAGCGGTACTGATGTCCCAAGTGATGCTGTTTAGTAGTAGCCTCCCCTCGGCTGCATTTGGTATTTCATTTTTTTATGCAAATTAAAAAAATTAGATACTAGGCAGGAAGGATTACAGATAAATCAGAAGAGATATACGATGATGTCCAGTGAAGTTGTTACTATTATCCTCTATGTCTATACACTCAGTATTATGTTAGACTTGAGCAATGTTTTGTATTTGATAAAACGCATGATTATGGTTCTGTTTTAGTTCATTATGATTGCAACACAAAGGCAATTTCAAGAGTATATTAGGGAAATTACTTTTTTTTTAATGGAAAAGATTTATTCTTTTTACCTCCACTAGCTAACAAAGCATGGCAGGTTGAATGATACATGAATGCCCTCATTAGATGACCACTTTTGTTGAAGAAGAAAAAGTTGTAGTTTTGATTACTAGACTGATAAAGTGTGAGATGCTATAACTTTTTGCAGTTATGCAAAATGCTGTCCAGTTATATCCTTGCCAATTCATTTAGAAAATGAGGGAAATGAAGATTCCATAATATATCTAGGAAGCTATTCAATTCTATTAGACATCCCACTAACTTTACTTGCATACATAAAAACACTACATATTATATTAAAATTAAGGGTTATTGTCACTGTTGCCCAACAAAGTTATGTATATAGGTTTAAATGATCCCTTGTGACTATTTTTAGCACTTTAAGGACATAAACTGATGGGTTTTGAGCGTTACATCACTTCTGTGGTGCACATGCAACCCTAAAGCTTTGGATCTAGGTTTTTCCTAATTGTACATGCAATAATCATCCAAAGCTAAAACCTTAATGGACTAGCATACACGATTCGAAATTGACATGTAAACTAGGCTTAGAAGCTTACCGTTCTTGTTATGTAGCAATAACAAGTATAATCCTTCTTGATCTTGGGATTTGAAAGCGTAGTGCCCTAAGTGTTGCACCTCTAATGGGGTCACAAACTCCCAATGCAAGGAGAGAAGAATTTTCAGTTAGGGCTTTCATATAAAACTCATAGATCCAAAATCCCATGTAGAGGGTCTATTTGTAGCTATGGCTGCCAGGGTTTTCAGGTGGAAACACTAATTCCTTACTTAGGCAACAAGCAACCTATGAACTCCTTCCTTAGAGTCCATGGACAAAATCTATAGGGCTTCCCTTATAGGATTTCATCCACTCATGAACCCAATTTTGCAACTATCAATGATTTGCAAAAATAATCCCTCAATTATTAATAAGTTTCTTTAATTCCAAAATTAATACTAGATTAATTTCTGATTAATTACTAATTAATAATATGATTTCCAAATAATATATTAATCTTGTAATATATTAATAAAACCATTTCGAGTACCAATTTATTATTCATATAATAGATCATACTCTCTCTCTCTCTCTCTCTCTCTCTCTCTCTCTCTTATCATCCTATCAAGTTGTATGAATGAAGGCAACCCAAAAGGACCATGCTCATAATCAAATCAAGTACATACCAAAAATAGTTATGGGCTTAGACACCTAATTCAACAGTCTCCCACTTGGATAAGTCTAATAATTATTATTGCAAGTACGACTACAGAATCTGATTAGCAATCGTAGCTTTCAAAAGCCGCTGTCAAACTCTGATCTTATTAGTAACACGTCCTTTAGATAAGGGATCATATATTCATCAATTCTACAAGATATCGTATGGACATGAGACATGGATTATAATCATTCTTTCTTTCCATGTGTTGTTTTCCAATTTCTGATTTATAACGACTAACAATAGACTACAATTGAACACATTAACTTAGTACAGGCTTGGCCAAGCGCTTAGGGTGTCATCACTAAATCATCGAGGGGACCACATTTTATCCCTCTTAGGGTAAAAGAAACGGATAAACTTCGACTCATATGTTTGCACTATGCACTCATCAATTACACAATACGTTTTATAATATCAAGTTATTGATGCATTTACGTATTATCAATGTGCAACTGACTCGTAAACAACAACTCATATGTTTCCGTTTCAAGAATATAAAATATTATCGTCTCACAATCACTCGTGATAAAATCTATGAAGTGATTCATGTGAGCGTGTGTTTAATCCAATATTCAAATCTTATTTCAGGAGCACTCATGAACACTGCATCAAACTTTTACTATGTCTAAACACTTTAGACAATCTACAGTCGGATTCATGACAATGTTACCTCATCATCTACTTCTAAAGGATGATTGAATGTCGATGTTTGAATAATCTTATTATTCGGGAAGTCAAAACATGCGAAGTGAAACACACGAATAATCGAATCCAATATGGTCTCAAAACTTTTGAGTATAAATAAAACATTTATTATTTAATTACCATATTGATTACACATTATTCATTGTATAATGTTCCGAATAATCAACTTAATACTTGAATTAAAACAATAGTTATCCCATGCTCCAAGCATGTACACCATGTTTACCTATGGTCATTTCTTTGTGAAATAGATCAATTGAATACATTTCCAATGATGCTCATTTCACAATTCCAAATCCTTATTGCAAGTGTAAGAATACCAAATTCTTGTCACTATTAGAATGTGTTAGATTCTAAACTATCATGCAATGATCATTTTGTAACGTCGAGGTACCAAAGTTACAAAGACTTTGTCAACGATATTACAAAGCATTCTATTTGAAATTGTTACAATTACAACTCCATAGATACAAAGTCTCACATTCAAAGTACAGTCCTTTGAACATCATTATTTCATAAAAGTTTTTAACCTACACATAGATTCTTAATATCCAACTCCCATTATGAAAATCTTTCCATATATGCCATATGGCAACTCATTATTACTAGAATCATGTCTATTCATAATAATGCCAATATGGTCAATCCATTACTATACTTTCAACTGCAAGCGATCAAATCTTTAGGGAACCTCAAATCGTCATTGACAGTTGTTTAATAGCTTTTAGTCATATTTGGTTCTATTCATTTTCCCTCTTAGGCATTTGGAAAATTAGAACACGTGAATATTATAGTATATGAAATCGATCCTATACCCGAAGCATATGGAATACTATTTACAATGTTTTACATAAAGACATGATACTTTACCAGTCTCTTGCTATAATGATTTCATATATAGAATTTCCAATGTTGAAACAATTCAACCTGGTATTCATATATGCTCATGACTAAGCTTTAATACTTTAATCTAAACTTTTTGATTCGAAATAAAGTATAAGTATTCTCTCCCTTACTATAGCAAGATTGTCACACCCCAAAACCGGAACGACGGAAACGTTCTGGGGTGGATGACGTCATGTCAAGTATCATAACACATGCCTTATAGTAATCAAAGTACAACAACCATTGCATTAATAGTAATAGTTTTACATGGTTTACATTACAATACATCAAAGTAATACAAGTAGTTATATAGGTGCAGCTTAGCACTAAGCTATCTTCATAAACAGCTCCGGGAATGTACATGTCTAATGCTGACCTGAGAATACAAGTTATTTGAAAAGCGAGTATCAACATTTTTACAAATGCTGGTGAGTTCATAAGTATTTAGTGTCATTTTTATTCAAATAACTTTAATAAAAGTGGTAGTTTTAGAGTATCCATTATATTAGAGTCCTTTCCAGAAAATCCTATATTTTCTTTAATAAAAGCAGTCTTCTACCAAGACTGGACGAAGTTATGTGGTAAAAAGTAGTTTTCCCTTAATCGCTATCATTATCAAAATACAAAATTTGATTATTAAAGAAAGCAAGAGAAATTAGGGAAAATAACATATGCCTCAGCAGTGAAGACTGCTGACTAAGGCAAAAGGAATCGTAGACTGTGACAACCCGAAATTTCCATTCTGAATAAACCATATCAAGCCAATAGATGAAGATTAGTTACAGTGAAAATTCAGACTTAGAAAATAAGTTTGGCAGTTTCAGGGTTTTACACCAAAAAGGGGTATTAGGAGAGTGGATACACTAGGATGTTGTGCAACACTGTAAATTCCATTACCCTAGATCATTAGAATCCATTCCGAGAATAGAAATATATTCTGCCAAAAATCTTAGGACTATAAATAGAATTCTGAACCAAATTGGTTCATTAGTTGAATTCCATTTAGAGAAAAGCCAATTTCTCTCTCACGGATCTTCGGGTTTTCATCCCAGATTGTGAGTCTACTTCCCTAGATGTGTTTTAATACTTGTTATATGCTTAATAACATTATTTACATGTCCAAAACACAAGATCCGGGAGCTTACGGCCCAAGAACGTTCTTGGGGTGTAAACTCCAAAACAAGGCCTAAAGGCCATCTAGTCCCAATTCCTTGTTAGGCAACTAGTTAAGGACTTAGTGTATAAACATTTGAGGCTAGAAATCATTCAAGAACACCAACCTTTTGGAGTTTACGGCCCAAGAGCTTCTTGGACCGTAAACACCATTTCTAAGGGCCAAGTGTGCCCTAAATGACCCCTAAGGCTTAAGTCATTTATCCTCTAATGCTTGTAGCTAATTTGGACACCAAAAAACTTCCAAATCATAAAGTTCTAGGAGTTTACGGCCAAGAAAAGCTCTTGGGCCGTAAACCCCTTTTTCAAGGGCTAAAAGTGCCCTAATCACCCCCAAAGGCTTGGACTCTATTTTGGCAAATACCTTAATGTGTTTAGGACCTAGGAAACATAAGAAAAGCACAAGTATTGAAGAGTTTATGGCCAAGAGTATTTCTTGGGCCGTAAACTCCCATAAAGGGGTCAAAGGACACCCTAAACACTTCCTTAGGCCATGAGACAATTTGGACAAGTACCTAGATGAGTTATAGACTAGCTAAAACATTTAGAACCCCATGTGTGAGGGAGTTTACGGCCCAAAATGTTCTATGGCCGTAAACTCCAAGAAATGGTACCAAATGGTGCCATAAACTCTTCCAAAGACAAGTCCAAAAGCCTAGAATTGTTCCTAGTTATTATAGAGACTTGAAAGCACCATAATCACCCTCCCAAGGGATTTTACGACCGTAAACTCCAAGGGAAAAGGGTCTTTGGGCCGTAAACTCCCCAAAGGAGTCAATATGGTGCCCAAACACTTGTAAAGGCTTTGAAACAATTCCCACTAAGGCTGTAGTAATTGAAAGTACCATCCCAAGCCTTGGTTGGGAGTTTACGGCCAGGAGCTTACTCTCTTGAGCCGTAAACTCCAATGAATATGGTCTTTTGACCTTAAACTCACATTA